TCACACATTCTCTTTTATAAGGTATAGTTACAATGCTACTAATCCTATATCCTGACCTCCCACCAATATGAGTTAAAAGTTATAAGAAACTGTCCAGCATTATTATATATCATACATCAACAGTCAACAGCTTTATACCATGTTACAGCTTTTTAAATAGCTCCAGAGAGTCATCTATAAGAACAAAACAAATATGATAGTAGTTTTCAGCTGGTTAATATTCTGACAGGTTACTCTCTCACTTGTCTAGGACATTTATATTTCAAGTTGGCACAAACACAGCACTTTAAAAAAAAAAAAACATAAGTATTTTGTTTAGAAGAATTTCCAGGTTTTGAGTGTTGTTCCTTACCAACTCAGGGCATACTCTCACAATGAGGGAGAATGCATTCTCAAACTACAATAAGGGCTTAATTATATGTTATGTTGGCAAAAGAAAAATAACCAGGGTGTAACTGCTCAAAATTAAGAAGGTTCTGCCCCATCATTTCAGAAGAGCTGAAGAAACCTTGTCAAGTTATGCCAAGTGGAATGCTATTGCTGCTATGTGGTGAATTTGTTTTTCTCAGCTCAGTTCATCTTCCTTGCTACTGGGCAGGGAAAAAGCCATTCTACCCAATTTAGGCAATATCAGGCAGAGATGGTAGATATTAGGCTGGTCAGTCCTACTGTTTTTCACAGGAAAACAAAGTTCCCCAACTGCCATTAGCATGGTAGCAGAAATATTATATGACCAATAGGGAAACCCAACTTCAAACCTCACTTAGAACATGATTATTTGGTTAATTTGATGCTCATTCTACTTATCTGAAAGGTTATTGGGAGATAGGGAGAAATTATGTACTATTTGTTGAATTTCTTAGAGGAAAGGTAGAATACTAATCAAACAAAATGAATAATATATAAACTGGAGTTAGGTACAAATCCAGGATGGAGAACACACGTTCTGTAGCCACCAAAGTGTCTCAGGTAAAAAGTATCTTTAGATGAGGAAGTAGTTTTTTAGTCCCAGAATTGAAAGTTACAAATAAACCTCTGTGTACCCAGTCACTACTTTTAAGTTCCTGAATCCTAGCAAGTTAAATTAAGATAGAAATTAGGCTTTTTGAAGTAGCTATTGTTAAATAATCAGAATCCACAAATCTGTACAGAACTTCTCCAATACTCTGAATCTAGATCTGTTATTCAATTCCTTAATGCCAATAGCATTATTCTACTTCAAAGTGCTGGTCAACCACTTTCAAGCAATCTTTCTTAACCTGACAGTAGAGTGTGAGAAGGAATAAGGTCAGATGAAAAGAGCCTGAGATGAGACAGGTCTGCTGCAATAACAATGCACGGTTGTCAACTGGCCCTCCTACAGAGAAATGAACAGCTCTCAATCTGTTGGGGCACAGAGTCAGATCTAAGATTTGAACCTGGAGACAGACAGGCAGATATGGCTTGAGTCTTATAGTTGGCAATTTCCTGCTCTAATTAAGGCTTTTCTAGTATCTGTAATAAAACTATTTATCAAAGAACTATGTACTTGAATCTCTTGCTTGTCTTCATGTTCAAGTAATGGTATAGGTGAATGAAGCCTGACAGATTCCCCTCGGTCTGCAATTTCCAGAATTTTAAAGGAAGCTCATCACAGGTGATGGCTATCTGATGAAAATTCAGCATTTAAGCTTTGAATCGATCTTTATTCAGCCATGCTTCATGCCTGTGTACTGATTCTTCATTATAGGCCTTGGTCCAAACTCTCTTCCTACCTCGAGTTCAGCTGGCTGAAATGTCCACAATGAGGGTTTTTTAGCTGTGGCATGCTATCAGCTACAGAAAAACGAATACACTGAGCAAGACTGGAAATGTGAGGACTGAAATGATGCCTGCTGGGAGGGAAGCTTAACCTCATCCCTTCCCAAGCAATTCTGAAGGGGTTAGAATGCTAAGATATGGCCTGGCTCCAAAAGCTTCAATTCAGGTATTCATGCATACCTGAACATGGCCTCCAGAACCAAGGAAACACTGTAAAATGAGCAGATTTTACAGATTATTTTGATTTTTAGGGCTTATCCATACTTCCAGGATATACAAAGCATGCCATTTTGAATAGTATTGCTCTCACAGAGTACTTCTTTTTGCACTAAAGGAATGAGGCTGGTAGAGTGGTTAGTTGTGACTCCCCAACAGGCTTTCAGTGTGACAGGCTAAAATGCAAGCAGCAGCAGCAGCAATGAGAACAAGCAGGGGAAAAACAAACAAACAAACCCAAAACCCACACCTTTCCCCATTCTCTTCAACTCTGCTCATCGGTTCAGCCTTCCCCTCTTCCCCATGTAGCATATTTTCCCTGTGGCCATTGGTCATTTTCTGACTATACCAAGCAGTGAGAAATAGATCCACCAACAGCACCAGTGACTTTCCATGCCTGTCTCTCAGCTCCTTCTGGCTAATCCTTGGACAAATCTTGTTGTCAGATTGCTTACCCTCTTCCATATTATTTGGTAACTTTGAGTGTGCCTTATGAAGATGCTGCCCTAATATAATTCTTGAATTTTTCTTAGAGCTAATAGGGTACCTCTACTTCTTAATGTATGTGGCACAGACAGAAAAAGAGAGAAATGAAATCCTAAGCATATTATGATAGCATTTATAGAATAAATGATCAAACTGTAGGATAAATGTTGTTGGCAAAATCTAGCCATACTGACCTTCTGAAAAACCTATATTTTGATCTTCTGGGAGATCTGTAACTCTATCCCTCCCCATTTCACCCCCCAAAAGACTGCTGCACAAAAGGGGCATATGCTCTAACAGCCAGAGAAGAAATGGCACAAGAATCACAGAGGCTGAATGGGAGGGAACAGTCCTGCAGCAGGCCAACTAGAGTCCAGTAGGTCACTGAATCTTCAAAGATGATTCCTACATGCAACATAGAACATCCATATAGGAGGTCTTTCATTTTTCTCATGGAAAAACCATTTTCCTGATGGATAACTTTGCTCCCTTTTCAGTCAGCCTCAGCAGCAGGCTGGCAATGAGATGGAGGTTTCATAATAATGACATGTCCCCAACAAATGGCATGTGGGCCATCTCAGAGCCAGGGCAAGGTAGCTGTATAGATGAGCGCTTAGAGGTTAAGCTGAAATGTTAGAAGTTAAGACCACTGCTTTGAAATGTTCCCAGGAACATAAGGTGGTGATTTTTAAGCACTATCAAGTTATATTTAAAACTAGCATGTCATTTTTTTTTTTTTAAGTTTTAGGAACAAGGGAGCTTGAAAAATTCGCCATGGAAATTTGCTTAGGTATTTTTTTAAAACAAAAGAACATAAAGATAAACTGGAACAATTTCCTGATTCAATCTTAGGTCATAGAAGAATATTGTTCTTTATCCAAATATTCCCCTTTAGTCAATTGTCATGGCATTCTCTCCTCTTCACTGCCCCACTATGAACAAGGAATGGATTAAAGACTATACAACTCATCCCCTATATTGATAAAAGCATTATGAGTCCCTGAGATTCTTCTTCCAAGTTGCTTCTGGAGAACTTTACTGAGATCCCTATTAATTTTAATCTTAAAAAAGGAGCCACATATATACAATTCTACCTGAATTGTTTCTTTGGCAGTGAGAAGGCAACATCCATAAACCTCTTTTACAAATGAACTACAAACTTGATGTCTCAGTCTGGTTTTGAGCATACATTTGTTGTAGGAAGAACCAAGAAATGGAGATCAAATTTTAATTCTTTCCAATGTTACCTTATATAAAAGGAAGTCAAAGAAGCTCTCTTTGCTATGTTTGTGGGAGCCAAAGAAAGCATATGGTGGTTATAATAACATTTTTACAAACAGTTTATTAAACTAAGGATCATACTACTGTTTGCAAATAACAACTTACTCCTTTCTAAGTGAGATTGCAATTACGTGTTGTTAATAATCCAAACATTTTCTTATAATTCTGGTTGCCCATGTTTTCCCTACTACTGGCACAAGGACGCCAACACTGAAATGTAAACACTGAAATGAAGAAAACTATTGACTAGTATTATGCTTGAGGAATTAATATGTAATATGCTCCAGATCTACTCCTTCCTTACACTTTACTAAACTGTAACATACGTTCACAATTTTTTTTCAGTTTAGACTTAAATGTGCAAGGATATGCATTTTGTATTGAAAAGAAACATGCTCCAAAATGTAAAGGTTATTTCATTCACCTAGTAAATCATTTAATGTAGTAACATGCACTTAAATGTTTTAAACAGTCTACCCTAAAATGAGATAAAGGAGAGGGCCAAGGGGACCAGGCTGCTATGTGAACTACCTTTAAAATGCAATTGTTTTAATCATTTTCTACAGATGCAGCCTCACAGGGTCTGCTGTCACAGGGACCATTTACGACTTGTTATGGTGTCTCTATTGTTTACCAAAGACATTCAGCTAAAAAGGCGACAGCTGGGACAGAAAGCTGCTACCCAAAAGAACAATATAATCCTGTGAAAAGTAATCAACAAATTTAAGAGTGTTAATTAACTTTACACTTTATCATGTTCAATTAGTTGCCTTTTCTCAGAAAAGATTGCCGTGCACAATCGGTTTAGAGCGTGCCATGTTTGATTTGTAAGTGATCACTGTTTTGGTTTCAAAGTCGATGTCAGCGATTCTCTTGGGTTTTGGTGACACAGATGAATGGCTCTACACATGTTTCAGGGGTGATTTGGCTTAACGTAAAGTAGCACAACATAACCTCTTGTTAATGTATTGCTGGTTTCACACAGAAAGAAAACCAGCAGCTTATGCTGGTTCTCATCTGGGCATATATGCAAATTTATTTCCACACACATACAAAAATAGATGGTTCTCCCAACAATAAAATCAAAGTTAATTTTCCCCTGAAACAGAAAGTCTCTTAAGTGAATAATTTTTCATCATTATTTCTCAGGGAAAAGCTTGTCTTTCAGGGACACATTTGAGATCACTTCTTCCCAGCAAGATTTCTAATTCTGCTGTATTATGTACTATGCACAAATATGCTTTTAGATTACATATAATGTGCATTGCCTTTAATAATGGCAGCTGAAATAAATGTTGCATAGCTACACTAAGCACTGCTGGCACATATACGATGGTACAGTGGGACTTTTACATTTCTAAGATATATTTTTAAGACTAGAGCCCTTGAAAGAAACTTAGATTCATCTATGATTATAGTTTCTTTTTGCCTATTTCCTTTACTATAGCCTTGCTGCTTGCTAATGGGACATGGCAAAACATGACAAAGTGATGATGTATTTTTAATGAACACCATAGCAATTTCTCAGTACTGACAGGCAGCGTTGCAGATTACAATATTTCTCACTTTATTGTTATGCCCAAAACTTTAAAGAAAAAAAACCACTCAGAGCTTTATATCCACATTGTGGAAATATGTTGACATATCATAAAGAAAAGCAGCTTGTTATTGCAATTAAAATGTTCGGCTATCAGTGGGATACATTTATATTCCTCTAAAGCACTGCTGGAATGATACACAGAGAAAAAAGTAGCCAGATGAATCTTTCCATTATATCAAAACATGCAAAACATAGTAACAACATGCAATTATAATTGTTGATCAAATCTTATTCCTAGGAGAAATAAGTAACCTTCCAGTCAGAAAAGTAAATGCTGAAAGCTAACAGTGGTCTAAGTTAAATATTTAACGGAGGAAATTATAATATACTCCTAGAAGAGCTGAAATGACAAAACAACAGCAGAGAGTATTAGATTTCTGCAGAAGATCTGTAGGGAAAAAAGGGAAGCGGTCGATAGATCTTTAAATTGGGTAGCAATAACTGGTCTTCTATCCCAAGTTGGCAGCTGCTATGTTAGCAGGCTTGGTTCATTATTTACCCATAATGACCATCAAACTCCAGTCAAAGTCGGATCACAACAACTGTCAGCAGCTCTTTTAATTAGCCTTGTTTGAATTCAGATAAATATCACAATGGCCCAACTTTTGCTGAAAGAGCAACAGAGCACTGTAAACAATGAGCTATTTTGGCTTTAGATCTACCCACATGGAGAAGTTGCCTAAGGAGCTGTGTTATGCAAGCATATGTAATTAAATCACATATAAAAAATAGCGAATGCCAGACTTCCCATAACGATTCTTAGTTTTTGAAAAGACTTATGCCTCAATCTCCTTTCAATACAGAGATCTTTAAAATACAACATACTGGCTCTTTATTCTTCCCTCTATGTATTACATATTTAAGTGTAAATATTCATAACATTTTCCTTAAAAAAGCATAATCAAAATGAATCAAGAATTAAAACAGATTAACTTCTTCTCTATTTTTTTATCTTGTTAATTCTGTTCCTCCTCAGAGATCATAATCTTCTATTGCATGATCAGCTCCCTTTCTTTGCGCTCTTACCATCAGAATAATGATTTCCTT